TTTTCGGCGACTCCTTCAATGCATTGGTCAAAGATGGAGCAAAGACAGATGTTGGCACCATCATCAAGGAGAATAAGCGGACGCTGTTTGGGCACAAGCACGAGGTCTGGTCCGAAATGACATGGGGCAAAGGACTGGCGGAATCTCTTGATGCCGCTGAGCGGGCAATGCTAAAGCTCGCCGAAAGGCCTGAGCCCCGGCCGTACGTCATCGTGATCTCCTGGTCTGGAAATGATGTTGTCGGTCGTAACGGTTACATCGACAACCCCGCCGCCCTAGCGGGCTGGGCCACTGACTCCGAAGCAAAGCGCAAGGCTGCGATGGACATCATCGAAAGGAACGCCCGAGCGGTGATGACTGTCCGTGACCGGCTACGACATATTGCTTTTCGGGAAGACGTGGTCCAGGTCGTGCTCATCGTACCCCGGGACTTTGAGACGTACGGATTGAGTGAATCCTATAAGACTCAAATGGACGGTCATGCACGTTTGTTGCACGGTTCAGCGGGAATCACCGTCCTCGACCCCCAGACTCTCATATCCAACACGTCCCGGGCAGACCGCATCCACACCGATGACACCGAGCGCAACAGAAAACACTACATCAATTTCTATGTGGCCGCCGCGAAGCTCGGGTACTGCATTGGCCAAATCAACCGCTTCGAAGGGGCGATGAATTGGTACCGCCTCGAAAGGGAATACATGAACATTGACACATCTATCCCATCGTTGGCGCTACACCCCAGGAAACTGGCGGTCCGGCAATTGCAAAGAACCCTGAGGATCCTTTCGACAATGCGGTCCGTGAGAGGGAGTTGGAGGCGATCAACGAAATCGCCGCGCAAGAGCCGAAGCGCGAGGTTTTCCTGGAGACTGAAAAGGAGGCAAACCCCCTCTACCCCCTCGACACCGTCAAGGAGGAAGCAAAGATTTTGCAGATGATGCAGCCCGACATTCACGCGGCGACCGTCAGCGGCCTCAACGATGTGATTGATTGGTCTTCTTCTTCGGATGAGGAGGACCTGATCAGCTTCGACCTACCCCCTGGCTCTCAGCCTAAGGTCAGCCGGCCGAAAGGCCAGGCCGTTGAGGTTGCCGCAGTTGATCCGAACGATATTGGTGAGGACGGCCAAATCAAGCTTATCCTCACTTCCAAACGGAAAAGTCATAACAAAATGACTGCAGCTCTCAGTGCTGCGACACCAAAGGTGAAATCAAAGGCAATGCCAATGCCTGCTGCCTCATCCAGCGATCAGGCGCCCGTGGCTGGGACCAGCAAGACTCAGCCCGGAGAGATCCGTGGCCCGGAGAACATCCCCAAGGCGAAGGCAGTTTCCAAAGCTGCTGCAAAGCCCGGGGAGACCCGTGGCCAGGCTGCTGAACCCAAGAGGGAGTGGATCAAGTGCTCAGGAATCAAGATTCCCCAGATCCAGAACTATGGCAGAAGGACGTTCTTGAGCAAGAAGGTGTCGTATTTGGTTCGCGGACATGCCCACGAACATGCGACGCGATCCATCCCTGAGATCAATCTCAAGGACAACTCCTTCGACTACGCAGCCGTTGCCAAATGGATCCAACGCCGATATGACTGGAACTGCTCCCAATACACTCTTCTTCAGGCCACGTCCACATCGAATCGGTTCGAGGTCTATGTCGAGTACGCGCCGGCCGGACAGCAATGGAACGGGCTCAGTTTCATGCCACTACGCATTCGTGCGTTCACCGGCCACAACGATTGGGTGACCGAGGCCAGCGGCTTTGACAATATTCCTGGAGATCCCATTGCAATGGATGTCAATTACACCATCGAGCACGCAAAGAAGGGTGTGCGACCGGGCTTCTGCAAAGATTTCTCGGACGCACGCCGAAAGGCGCTGCCCAAAATCGCCTACCACACGTGCAACATGCAGAATTTCTTTGACATCATCTACATGGGCATCTTTCCGGGCGGAATGGGAGACCGGCAAACCTCGCGTGGTCACGCCTACCTAACGGTGGTGCCTCCTTGGGACAGGCATGGCTAAGGCGGGGGGTGCGCGTGCTGACCGACCCATCAACATCGCCGTCGATGTGGAGATGTTGATCCAATTGGGATGTCGGCTGTACGCACCCGGAGACGGGGAAGCCCTGGTGACGGAGGATTGGATCACCAACAAGGTCCTCATCTACGCCTATGACGCTGAATGTGCAAAGTTTATCTGGTCCAACCGGATGTACGTCAGCGTCAGACGGAATTACCAGGACAGCATCAAGAAATATCGGGAAGAGACCCAGAAGGGCGTTGTCGGGACCCCAGTGCTGGAATCGTTCATGGCGAACGTCGAGAAGGAATGCAAGCTCTATTACAGACAGTGGGCTCCGACAGCGTGCCGCGACTTGACGCGGCCCCACCGCATCGGCAATGTCACGAAAGTCAAGGACGTCTACGACGAGAACCTCCCGAAGGAAGAGCAAGTCGCGCTTGAGTTCGAGACTGCCCGCTACGGCCTCTACAGAAACTGGGCCCGAGCTGTGACGCAGCAGCCCGGGGAAACCCGAGGCCGGAGTGGTTTGTGGCAGGACTTGGATCCCAACAAGAAGAAGTCGACAAACTGGCGCTTCGCGGAGGTCATGCACATCCCTGACGTTGAGTGCCCTCGCTGCAAAATCCTCATCCCGGTTGGCACCATCAACTGTTTCCAGTGTGACCAGTTGATGGAACGCATGCCCGATATCAAGAAGATAGCCAGGGTCGTCCGTTTGCAGGAGATGGCCAACACCTTGGGCGTGCCGCTGTCCATGGACCAGGTTGAGACTCAGATTTTGACGCAGCGAAAGGATGCGCGGGGGGATCGAAGCGCAAGAGGGGGCCTCGGCATCATGAAGGACATTGCCAAGAAAGCAGTTCTTCGCAACAAGGAGTACACCACGCTGTACGAGAGGCTGATCAATGACCCCTTTTACGCCTACACTGCCGCGCGGGGAGACCTGACGCCGTCCGCCCTCAAGTTTATCGAGAAAGTGGCACGATGCATGATTCCGAGTTTCGTGAGAACCAAGGAAATGATCCAAGGAAGCGTTGCTGTGCCGAAATATCACGCACGGCTAACGCTGGTGCCGCCTACCGAGGACGTGCAGGAGGTCGACCCGAAGGACGTCTATGTTGTGCATGGCGGCAGATTTCTGGAACCAGAACAATTTGCCGCACTTTACGGAAGCCTTGACAAGAGCAACCGCTACACCGTGATGGGCTGGACCCGGGATTTCTCGTCTGTGGGAGACCCCGAAATGGTATTGGTTGAGTTGCTCTGCTTCGTCGAAGAGGAGATCCCCAACATCGAGATCCCTGGACGAGCCACCCCGCACCCTGCAGTTGTCGGTGTGACGCGCAAGCCCATTCCGCAGCTCCGGGAGACCGGTGGCCAATGGCAGGATCGTCAATGGAGCCAGTCGTACTGGGGAAGCTGGGGCCAGTCCTGGGACTCGTGGTGGTCTGATGATCAGCGCCCGTGGAAGAGCTCCCGCAATTGGGATTGGCGATGAATGAGCGATCTCTTCAACAATCTTTTCTATCTTCGGCTGACATCCATTTACATTTCAATTTCAATATTCATTATACTTCTCAATCATGTTGGCCGAGGATCAATGTACAGTGCATGAGCACGCCTCGCGAGAGCGACGGTCAGTGGAGGCGGAAGACCTTAACTGCCGATCGTTCGAATCCAAGTGCTTGTGTGCTGCAAAAGGACTTCATGCCTATCGGGTTTCTTTGGTTGTTTCATCCCTTTCATTTGTCCTCCTGTTTCACATTCGGGCACGGGGGGTGTAGTTTGCAACGTGATGTATTTATCAACCATGTAAAACCCCAATGCATGAATGTCTCACTTGTGCAGTCTCATCATTACGACTGCATATGGCTCAAGAAAAAGCGCGCTGTGTACAGGGTTCATTTGTGACCCTTCCCGGTTGTTTAACCTGTTCTATATGTAGATTTGGTTTGGCATCCCTATGGCTGTCTGCTGTTCAAGACCTTCAGCCCCGGCTTGACCCTGAGCCAATACGACACCCTAACCCGGGCCGCAATCAAGCACCAAGCCTTGATTGGCAGGGTTTCTTCATTTCTCGTTTTCAAACCTCCAAAGTGCCAGTTTCAATGTGGGAAAGAACAAGTACCTGCTTGCCCCAGATTTCCCCTCAAGGTTTGGCCTTTTGGTCTAAAGTCACCACTTTTGAAAGGCCACATCCTACTTCCATTTGCTGAAATGAATCTGTGACATATTCTCCCTGGTTGGTCAAAAGGGAATTTATCACTGGACATAGTTGCTCATTTTTCCCGGACTTCAGCAATGGGAAGCCTACCGCTTGGAATTGACAAACGTTCTCTCTACCGTGTGCCATTATTCCCCAGCGGCAAACAATGCCAACATCGGCCCATTTCAGTTCAGGACGCCCACAGCCCCCATCGGCCATGTAATAGGGAATGGTGCCACCCTATGTATTTTCTCGGTTTGCGAAGGCCTATGCACAGCTTGCTAGCCAGGTTGGTACAATCCTAAGTCCCAATCATTAGTTGTTTGACGCTTTTCAGCTTGTGAATTACAAGCATCAGCGTGACCCAGATGGCGATGACTGGGCTTTGAGAAACCAATTTAGTGATGTTCCCACGGGGTACAACAGCGGGTTGTATACGTTTGCAGTTGTTTGAGGCCCCCTGCCCCATGAATCACTCTCAGTAGTTTTGATATGTCCTATTGTTTGTTGCTTCTTCAGCCCTTCCAATTTGCACCCATGTTTTATTTGTTATGTGTTTTTGTTGAGCTTTTGCTATGTGTAATTACTCCTAGCCTGCAGCGCTATGCATTGGGATGTGTTCATCTACCTTGCTCCGGAACGGGCGTTGCAGACCCTTCCCCGCCGTCAACTCCTAAGCCTTGTGGGAGTATGGTCTAACTTGGGTTTGTAGCACCAGGAATTCAGGCGACCTTTCCGGCTTGGGCTGTCGTTGTTTCAAGCGGGTCGGAGGCGAACTGGGGAATCGGCATGATCGCGATGCCCTTCTACCTGCACTCGGCCGGCTTAGGTGCCGGACTTTTGCTCCTCGACACCGTAGACGGGCGACGGGTGGGTTTGGGCAACTGGGTAGTTACCGAATTCAGTCACCAAACATCATATATATATATATACATATACATAGACATATTTATATATGTGAATATATATATATATGTATATATATGTGTATATATATATATATTGCTGTGGAGTACATTCTGTTGTCAGTTTGTTTTGCGAGTCTCCTGCGGGATGATGGCGCTTGGGAGGATCACCTAGAACCCCCACATTGCTACAGAACCTAAGGAAAGGCGCCTGGCTTCCAGGTCGGACTGGTGGCCAGTGTGGCACCCTCAAGTCGTGCAATTCTGGCGACCAGTTCTGCTTACTGGTTGTGGGGGTCGATGCGGTTCGCCAGATTGCAAGTAGAGGGAACTGTCCGAACCTGGAAGTTTGCTGCGTATTTCAGCCTGGTGGTCCGGTGGCTTAGTTTCTTGGACATACTTGGACAATGCTGGCCAGGGCTTCCCCAGCTATGTATCACCGAAGGCGCAAAACCAAATCCCACACAGGTGGAAGAAGGTCTCCCAAAGAATATGGGCCCCTAAAGTGTTCAATTTCAGGACTTCTCAAAAAAGACAGATTTAGGTACGGCGAGTTCTCACAATGGACGGTATACTTGCCATCGCGTTTTTTGTTTGTTTTCAGATTAATGTGGCTTTCATTGAGCCGCTAGGGCAATTTTGAGGCTGTCACGAGTTACTTCCATGAACCCAAAAAAGGTTGCTGGTGAGTGGGGATTCGTGGGTTATTGCCAATGAGCCTGGGAAAAGAACCAGTAAGTATGGGTTCAGTTTGTTGTCATTCACGCATGCTGAGAACCAGCACAACAGAGGGCGCCCAAACACAAGAACGCCCCCTGCCCACTAGAACTGCAACAACCCCCGGAAACAACAAAGTGGATATCTTGGGCATACAACTCAATGGGGTTCGCATCCCATGCAGCTGCTATGGGGCTGGACGTTTCGCCTTTTAATCCTTCTTTTTTTTCGGGAAAATGCGGTGATTCCCCACAAGCATCAAGCTGGGTCCGTTGCAAACTTTCGGGACTCAAGCCGAGGAGCTTCTCCACTTGGAGTGCGGTGGGGCCACGGCCACCATCCCATACTTTCGACTCCAAATACCAACTTCTTTAGGGTATCGTGTCGACTCTCTACTTAAGAAAGGAGGTATTTACCCTGGAAACCTAGGTTTTTCAAAAAATACCCTAGAAAAAGTTGGTATTTGGAGCAGGGGGTAGCTGTTCTTTTTGGTTGTGGTTGAAAAAAAAGCAGAACGCCGGTTGGCCTGGTTCTTTCATCATGCGATCTTTCTTCCCAAGGCACCTTCTCACCATCCCTGTGGTCTGAACAAGGTTACCCTTCTAAACATGGCTTGGTGAACAGGTTTCTTTTGGAAGGTTAGGTTCCCTTTGCGCCATCCCTGTTTTCCTCCCTTCCCCAACTCATGGACTTTAGTCACTTTTTGGAGTTGGACCGTTTTAGTGGCTTAGACAAAAAGTGTGGTAACCTTTTTGTGGCCAATCCACTCAGGAAGTGAGGGACACTCGAGGTTTTTCCTGAGTCCAGCTCACTTTTCTTGTCCAGCCCACTGTCCACTGGGAAAATGATTGTCGGTGTCCATAAATCTCCCTTCACAAACCCAGGCCACTTCTGCAGTGACATTCCCAAAGTCAGGTTCCTCCTAATTGGTGGCTTGGGGATTTGAACCCCACTTTTGAAAGCCCTTAACATCCAACCCCCACCAAGGCGTAATGTGACAAAAGGGGACCGAACCAAAACCAGATTGGACACAAACTCTTTGTTTTTCCTGAGTCCAGCTCACTTGTTTTCGGCCATCCCACTAGTGCCCATTGGTTTTCATAGGTTTCCCTTGACAAACCCAGGCCACTCGGAAGTGAGATGCCGAGGTTCTTCCTTCTCAGTAGCGCCGTGGCGGCGGACGCGGCGATCCTCACACACCGCCTGCGCCAACGCCTGGGGGAGACCTGCTGCAAGAATGCATAGGAGGCGCCAGGCGCCAGGCCGTTTGCGTTTTTTCCATTGGCTGAAATGAACATGTGGCTGTGGTGGTCAAAACGTTTTGGGATCCCTTTTGAGGTAGGTGCACCACCCATCTTAGTCGGGGTTTTCGGTGTTTAGTGGGGATTGAATCGGATGTTCACTGGAGGTACGGGGTTTTGACCCATAGCCGTGTTGCTTGCTGGTGATCAGGGCATGGGAAACGGAATGACCCCTTATAACTTGTGGTTTCCTTTCAGGGGAATTTTGGGTTCATGTCCCCATTTTGTACTGAGCACCAGCAAGTGTTTGTTATTTCCCCTGTTGGTTTTAAAGGGAACCTACGGAACCTGTCACGACTGGCAATATTGCGAGAAGAAGTTCCAATGAAGTCAGTCAATATCTGGAAATGAAGCAATTTGTGTCTTCCTTTATTGGTTTTAAAGGAAACCGAGTCACGACCGGACGTGTCTGCTATTTCTTCTAACAGGCTTCAGTATATGTTTTGTTGGAGGCTCGGTGACCTTTTTGCTGGGTGGTTTTGAAGGAAAACCAAGAGGAGAACCGAAATCCAATATTTGTTTTTTTGGGCGGTCTTTTCAAATGGGACACATCCATATCCCAGAGTAGGTTACTTCCTGTTGCTCGTTTTTTTTGGAGGGTGTTTCCTTGAACCCATGGTCACCGGGGTCTCGGATAGGGGGTTGTCAATTGAGGTTTGGAAGCCTGTGGCTGCGCAAAACGGCGCCCCAACATTTGACCCTTACAAAAGACAAAGGGATGATAGCCCCACAAAACTCGGGAAGTCGGCAAACACAGTAAGGAAATGTCAATGCATTTTCACAAAACAACCTCCTGATGGACATGCTTCCCCATGTACATGATCTCCTGCGTGTCCGCAAATGAAACATCACGCTCAAATTTGGGTCCCACTGCAAGAACTTGCAGAGGAACATGAGTCCCGAAACTCCCGGAATTTGAAACAAACCTCCGGCATGGGTCCAAAGCGACTCCCTAAGATGTGCGAGTCATGCAGCCTTGGGCCTAGGCATCCCCTTCAAGAAGCCATGGCCACACGGTGCACAAAAGGCGTCTTGCACATGGAAATGATCGCCAGCGCCCATTGTCGTGTCCTTTTTTTGGAGGGGTTCCCTTTAACAAGAAACTCTGGGGCACATTGAGGTAACTTTTTCTGCCATTCGGTTTTTGAATATATCCGCATAATGGTGTTTTTTCAAAGCTGGCCCCTCATCAGGTAACCCCGAATAGATGGCTTGGATTGGTGGGATTTGAACCCCTCTTTCTTGTTTACCGGCATGGGAAACCCCTCCTAAACTTAACCGCAAATCTCCAAACCACCAATCGGAGGTGTCAACCTGGGTGGGGGCAAAATATGTTTAAACACAACCTTTACAAGGGTGGGGCATCATCATAACCAGTGGTTTAAACATGAAAAAAAACCAATGGGTGGCCCCACCAATGGTGTCAACAAGAAGCTGTGCCTAGCCACTGCGCCCAGGTTACGTGGCCTTGCTGAAGAAGGCCCTGGGGCCTCGAGCGGCGCTGCTGGGCATGTGCTGTGCGACTCGGCTCCAGGGATTTCAGGCGCCGCAGAGATGCAAAGATGGATTTCCTCCAGGGAACCAGAGCGAGAAATCGTACTAGTAACGGACGCCAGGTGTTGGGTTGTCCCAGTTTTTTTAGGGGTTCATCCAACTGGCCAGTTGGATTCTTCGCCATCAGAGGTGTTGCCTTGAGCCAAAAGAGGGGTTGCCGTGGATTCCTGGTGAGAGTCTGCGATCGTTGCTCCCAACTTCCAACACCCCGACGCCATTCGCTGCGGGTGAACATTT